TAGTTTGGCCCATGTCTCTATCCAATGTCTCTAATATTGAGGGGGCGGGGTTTATTATCACGCAAAAAAAGGGGAAAATCAAGATGTTTTGGCTTCACCTTTAGGGAGCTGTCATGTCGTCCATTTTCATATACAGTCATCGGTCAGCACCTGTGTCTTTTCTCCCATTGTTCCTGCTGCTCAAACCTACTAAAGTGAAGCAGCATCACTTGACCAATATTAGGCTCAGTAGCTGCTAAATGTGCCACTTTCTTCTCTAGATAGCTGCTAACTTTGCATGTTAGCTATAGCCATGAGGTTGATGAGAGCACTGAGACTGAAGCAAAAAAAAGTAAAATCAAAACTCTAAGCTACAAGATACTAAAATGCTCCATAGGACTGCAGAGTTGGTGATAACTCTCTGTGGATTCACAACTACAAGTGACACCGATCACATCACACAGTCACTGCTAATCCCATCTCATGCGGTTGCCGCTTTTTTTTTTCCAAGTTGTTTTGCTCGTGAGGATGGCCAGAATGACAGAAGTACTTCAGCAAACATGCAGGGACAAAGAAACAACAACAACAACAACAACAACAACAACAAAAACGTACTTTGTTTCAGGTCATTTTCACTTGCTGCAGCGCTTCACTCACAGTCTCCAGATGTTGTCCTTCATACTCTACACTGCTCCTCCCTAATGACTCACCACTGACTCAGAGAGGCTAAAAAGCTATAGTTCAACACACACACACACACACACACACACGTATTGTACACGGAAAGGCCATCTCAGGGCCATGTTTAACAACACATTTTGAAAGAGCATACATTTGTATAATGGCCTTGTTCATAGTAGACTAAAGACTTGCCATAGTAGGAGAAGCACAAGTGTCACTGCATAAAATTATCAATGGCTCTGCTCTATTCAGCTGCCATGACAGTGTGACGCTGAGACGGCCTGCATGCAAGTGTGCGATGAACCTTTCTCTCCAGCTCCCTTTGGATCATTCTTCATACGCTTACATCACTTTTCATGTGTACAATGACCTGACACTCCACATGGATTGTTACACAGAGGAAAAGGCATAGGCACGTTCAAAAGAGAAATACTTGGCGGTTGATTGGATGAACCATCTGCGTATAATATGATGTAGTAGGACAGCGCCAAAGAGGAAACACAAATCAACAACAACAACCTAGTTAGCATGTCGTTAGACGAATCTTGCCATCTTTGCAAGGAAAGGTTGCGCATAAAAGATGAATACCAAAACAGTCACTTCTCCGTAGCTACCAGTAGTTCCTTTATCAGCCACAAGTGAACACCTTGGAGCCTGGCAGGATGGATTCTCGCTCCAGCTGCCTCGCAAGATTATGTGTTCAACAGAGTGCCGTGTGCGTTATTACTCACATTTGTCCAACTGATCGTGTCTCACTTCTCTTCTTGCATCTCACTATTATTATCGAAACATGTGTGGACACGTTTGCCTTCAGAGTCCGTTGGACAAGACGTTGTGTGAACTTGTTTGTTTCATGTATACCAAGAGTTTTTGCTGGGGGCGGGGCATAAACGTGATGATGTCAGCTGTAGTCCATCTGCCCACCTGAGAATCACTTCAACCAGACTGACATGAAATTTGCTGTAGATGTTGGTGGTCCGGTTTGGTTAACTGTACTCCGTCATCACTCCTCTAGTGCCAGTTTCAGATCAAAATATTGACTTTGTACTCAATAAAAATTGGGTGAATTTGGTGAGAAGATGGGACTCTTATGTACAGAGCTGAAGTCGGGAGGAAATTAGCCATGCTTACATTTCTATTTGTGTACGGAAACAGCAAGTTTATACATGAGCAGTACAGGTGGCACAGAGAGGCACATGGTTTCCCCTTTGACGGATCCAGACTATTTGTTTCCCACTGTTTCCAGTCTTTAAGCTAAGCTAGGCTAATCACAACAAGTCCTCCAACCTGAACGACCATATAGGTTGTTGGTCCCTACACTCTGGTATGACCCGCAGGAGCGTCTCCTGAATTAGCGTGCCACAGCAGGAGCAGATATGCCACAGATTAACTTCATATCTTTCATAGTTGAAAGATAAATAATTAGCCCTCCTTTGGTTTGGTTAAGTTTAGGCATAAAAACAACTTTGTTAGGTTTGGGGAAACATCAGGGCTTGACTTTAAACATGTTTCTTTGTTAAGGTAAGAGGACATCCATCATCACGGTTGAAATAATAAACTCACGGTCAAGGTTATAGAACGATCGTGGTCGTGGTTAAAAGAGATAGAGATGACACTTGGTTGAAAACAGGAAATGAACAACAGTCTCCAGTTCAATGTTTATGTCGACCCAACCATCCATCCGACCTCTTCTGCGTGTGGACTTCATTGCTCTTTATACAACGTAGCCTGACTTCCTCCTTTGCACCCATCATAACTATTACAGCCACTAAAGGGTTTTGTCACTTAAATGTAAAACTGATGTTTTGGGGCATCTGCTGAAAGACTGATGCTGTCTACTATGAATATAGATATTGCTTAGTGATAAAACATATATGAGTCATAATAAGCTGCTGACACAAACAACTTATTGGGTTATTTCTTGTGAGAGGACAGTCTCACTAATCACCTACCCCTGCATCAATTTTCTCATTGAACTCTAGAAAAGGAAGAAATAACTGCATTTCCCAAATTGTTGAACCATTACTTTAAATTAAGAAGTGATATTTTGTAAAAATGTACTGATGATTAGTGCATCTTAAGACTTACCACTTTCTGTGTTTCTGTTTTGTTATTTTTCATCAAGTGATCTTAGTTTTAGTCTTACTTTTAAATTGAGTTAAAAGGTTAAAAAAAAACTCCCTTGATGCTTTGGTTTACTACTCCAACTCAACAATGTAAAGTAGTTTGTAGGCATTCAAAAATTAAGTTTTTTAAAAGTCTATTTAAGTTTTTGGAAAGGTAATATTTTGGAGATACACTTGAGAACAATGACTTGATTATCTTTAAACAATTGTTATTAAACTCTCTGCCATTAATTGCTCTACTACTTTTAATCCTCATCAGAAATGATTCAAACATCTGTAAAAATGACAAAACCTTGTTGACTTACTGTGTAACATGCTCCGTCCCCTGTCTCCTGCAGTGACCCAGTGACACTGCCTTCCTGCAGCTTTCTTGTGTATCTTAAATGCCAGGAGGAAGGAGTGGGCTGAGACTGACGCCTTTCTCTCCTTTATAAATCAGGCTTTATGAGTTCACATAGTGTCGCTTGTGCATTGGGCCGGCCCCAACTCCAAAACAATTCAAAGAACAGTTTGTTGGTCTGTCCCTCAATGGCACAAAGCCGCTCATTCAGCCTGAGTCTGAGTGTAGGAAGTCATTTACCCCAATTCTCTCAATTCATTTCGATTCAACAAAGCTTTATTGGCACAATATTCACAAAAAAAAAATGTTTGGAAATAGAAAATAAATACAATGAATACATAAAAAGTAGGCTACAAAGACAAATAATTACTCTTAATGAATGTAGACAGAGTGCGAACAACCACTGATTCATAAAAATATAGATGAAAAATTCTGTGTATAATAGATTTTAACAAGACAAGGTCAAAACCTGATATTTGGCTGGATCGTTTATGGCCAATGTGCAAAATAAGGACGTAGTTTAAAACTGTTGTGGAGCCGCTGTAAACAACTGACATCATTGTGTCATATTTGCATTCCGCCTAGTGTTGGCTGGTTTCAGCTCTTTATCTATTTGCTTCTCTCCTCCCCTCTGTGCTCACATTTACAGTATTTCAATTGTGTATGCAATAATTGACATTGTGACTGAAACGTGGCCCATTAAGTCTACATGTTAACACTTCCAAGCCATTTCCAAGCTGCTGCAAGCTGATGGAAACTCCAACTCAGTCACATGTCATTCGGCTGACGAATAACTATGATCACTCATCTCTATCACTCAGTCAGTCAGTCAGTCAGTCAGTCAGTCGCAGTTATATGTGGTAGAATAGAAAATTTATAATAGAAAATTTTATAAAGCTGACACTGCTTGTCACAAGATAAGGTTAAATTTCCAGTTGAGTTTTCTTACCTTATATTGGAACTAATATAAAGAAATTTATCAGCATTTTTAGCAAATTGTTAGAAAATGATCCCTGAATAGGAAATCTCAGTTTTTGACTTTTTTAAGTTTTCACTATAATGGATTTTATTTATATGTATTCACAATGAATCAAATGAGTGTGTTGTCATTCAGGTCATTCATAGTTAGGAAGCAATAGAGAATTCTCTCCCCCTGCAGCTCTAAAATTAGTGTATGGTCTGTTGTCAAGAAATGAAGTAGTACATCCAGCCATGAAACATGTAAACTATAGAGAAAAATAATAATAATGGCTTGGAAGGATGGCTGAATTTAAGAAATCTTTTACACTTTAACACCTTCAGAACAAGAAGGAAGCTTATTGCAGCCCCTTACACAGCCAGCAGATGTCCCTCTTGCTTCACTCTATTGTTCTATGTAACACATTTGCCTGAGGAAAAAGTGTCCAAGTGTTGACAGCAAAGTGTTGACTTCTGTAAATCTGCAGCTTTCACTTTAAATTATACAATTTATTAGAATTTTAGCAGCAGAGAATTTTATTGAACCATTCTACAGTTAATCATTCAATAATGTTTTATGTGCACACAGTCTGTGTACAAGATTGTAGCCTATTGATCTATTAATTAGATAAAAGCAATAAAATTGCAGTGTTTAATAGAATAGAATCACAATCCTGGTTTTGATTTTAACTCAAATATTCAGAGCTCTGGTTAACTTTTCCTATTTTATAATTCATACGTCAGTCTGGGAACTCCCCCCTTGTCTCCGTTTGCCTCTCCTCCTTCTCCTCATCCCTCTTTCCTTCACCATTCTGAGCCCCAGACCTCAGGGAACATCTGAGCCACATCAGGACTCTAGAAGCCTGGCAGATGTGGATTCATCTCTACTTGACTCTTGAGCAATTAAGCAGCCACTGTCTGAAGAGACAGACCTGGTATGTGATCAGATCTGGTTCTTGGACTCTCAAGATTTAGGATCTAGATCTTTACACCCGAGAGTCTCTACCCGATGAAATCCTGGAGTATGAGGGTGAACCCGGTGTTGCAGCTGTCTGTTTTGCTGATGGGATTCTGTCAGGCCCATCGTGCCCTGGCAACAGATGACGCCTCCACATCACAGGAGTCAGGTGAGGTTCCCGTGTCCCAGCTGAGGATGCTCTCACTGGGACTGGCTCACCTGCTGCACGGGGTGGAGAAGAACACCGAGCAGCTGGAGCAGCAGGGAGAGCAGGTGGCGGCAGAGCTGGACGGGGCCACCAGAAGTCTGGAGAGCCTTCATAAGCAGAGTTTAAAGTCAGGACGGACTCGCAGGCAGGTGAGGAGGAATCGCATTTTCCAAAGGAAATACACTTTTCAGAGCCAGTCATGCAGATAAAATCTTTGCCCTGTTTTATGACTCACAGGCTCAAACGCTTTTGTTTTGAAATCAGACAGCTTTGTAGTTTGAAAGAGGGACATATATATTTAATTGTATATTGGGAATGAAAAGTACAAGACTAATGTCAATGAGAGTCCTGTGAAGACCGAGTAGACTATGAGTCAAGGTCTAAAAATCATTTAAAAAAAAGTCACCCACCAAGAGAATATTGGGTGTAATGTACATGTATTATAATGTGTTGTCCTTCAGGTGAGGAGGGATCTGCAGATACTGAGTGCCCGGGGGGACAGGGTGTGGACGGCGGTCAAAGATCTGCAGAAGGGGCTGGAGGATCTGGAGACAGAGCAGAGAGCCACGCAGCACCGGATGAACCAGATCCTCCAAAGAGTGAAGAGCCTGACTCAGCTGAGGTCAGGAGGTCAGACTCAGCTCGGCGTTGGCTTCATGAGGGTGAGAAAAAAAATGACCTAAGCCTGTAAACCACCAGGAAGTTGTTCTGGTGACACATATACACGGGTATGGTCATGTTAAATGAGAAAAGAGCCTTCCCCAAACGGTTACCACAAAGCTGGAAGTAGACTGTTGAAAATGTTGCTGTCGTATTAAGACTTCCCTTCACTGGAACTAGATCCAGGCCTGAGTTAGACAGGTGTCCACATACTTTCTGCCATGTAGTGGACTTGCTTTTTGCTCAATTTTGTTTTTTAGTAAATAACACAATCAAACATAAAATACCAGTGAATTCTTTTGTCTATTATAACAGACAATTGTCAGTGTCAGAAATAACAGATTTGACCTTTGATTTCTTTGTTGTGTTGTAGGTTATCTTGGATAAACAGGCCCAACAGCTTGCCAGTCTGACCTCAGTGGTTTCAGCCCAGGACAGGCTGATCGACAGACGCCTGCAGCGCATTCAACATCTGGAAAAACAGGTACGTAACCCTGGGGTTGACAACTTGTATCTTATTCTTATCAAAGTGCATAATCCATAAGGGAAACAAGGTCAAAGAAAAAGAGGAAAGTCTTGCACAGTCCCATTTTTATTACTGCTGCTATTATAAGACGTAGTAGTACATTTGGATGTATTTTAGTCCTAAGTGTCTTTAGAGTCCATTGTAAAAACTTGTTCAAAATTAGTAGTAGTTGCATTTGTCATTTGAGAAATTAGAGGAACTAACTTCTGAAATTTTAGTAATTGTTATGTGATGACAATAATTCAACTTTATAATTATGATCTATGTTATATTATTATGTTTATATTGCAAATTTTACCTGAAACAACAATGTGTGTTATGTAAAAAACATGCAAAAAACGGTTAATGATTAAAGATTTCTAAGACCTGAAGTTAATAATGAATGAGTTACAATAATAAATACTGTGGGTGAGGTGGCAACATAGTAAAAGTTTCACAGTAAAAGTTTGACAAGATGGTTTTTCAATATTCTTTGAAAAGTGAGATGCTCATTCTCACCTCTGCAGCGAGGCTGTTCCAGAGTTTGAGGACAGAAAGAGCTAAATGTAGCCCTTGTTTTAGTCCTGTTCCCTGATAAGTGCTGTTACCCAAATACCCAGGATGCTCTGACAGTGCAGCCTGCAGTTCTGACCTGTGTGTATGTGTGTGTGTGTGTGTGTGTATGTGTGTGTGTGTGTGTGTGTGTGTGTGTGTGTTTTAGGTGTCTGACAGCGCCCCAGCAGCACTGAGGGCAGATTCTGACTCCAACTGTGTCTGATGAGGACAGCTGCATCAACACACACACACTCGAAACAAATTCACTCACAAGCAGCAGTGAAAATGAGTTTGTAAAGAATGAACTGTACTACAGTGCAGGTTGAGATGAAAACTGTTGGGACTACTATTCTGTCCTCAACAAGATACAGCTCTGTTCACAAAGGGTTCAGAAATAAAACGCTCCTGTACTTGAGTCATCATGTTGTGCCTCTGACTTCCACAATATTGTGGTTGATGACGCCGGTGTTGAAATGTTGTGTGAAGAGAGTTTGCTCATACACACCCAAATAAACAGACGCACACTAGAGGCAGAGAAACCTTCAAACTACAACACACAGTTTTTGTAACAATAAAAAAAAAAAGTTAGAAGTCAGAATTTACAACCAACACATTTCTATATAAATATATATATTTGCTAATTGCGTTTAGAACCAAAACTGTCATTGAAGTTCTCTGCAGGATTATTGAGTATAAAAATGTAACGAAAAGCTAAATTTATGATTTAATGTGTAATGAATTCACACACAGGCCTTTAGGTTCAGTCAGCAGCGGTGCAGAATGTAAGGTTTTTAGCCAGGCGTGGCTCAGTGTATGCTAATGCTAGCCTGTCGGTCTGTCCGACAGTCCTGTATTTTAGTCCAGACTGCCCTCCTTTCATACAGCGCCAAGTCAATTAAGTCAAAATGTTATTTTGTCCAATACTTTTTGGTTATTGAGCAAAAACTAGGCTAATGAAATCCCCATCAGCTTCATCTACTTTGTGTCTAGTTAGGTAGTTAATTAGCAATATTAGCACGCTAATATGGGTCGTCACGCTAACATGTGAAACTTGGTGAACCTGATAAATATTATACCTGCTTAGCATCAGTATGTTAGCATTGTTGTTGTACTGACATTAACAGCAGACTAATGTTGTGCATCCCTGAGCTTCTTGTCTGTAGAGCCTGTAGCCTGAATTTAAAGAGACAAGTCAACTCTTAAACCGTCTGGAAGTTTGTTCCACCTCTGGTGCATAAATGCTGCTTTTCCATGTTGAGCTTGGACTCTGAGAACAGTTTGTAGGCCGCTACCAGAAGACCTTAGAGGATACATATGGTAAAAGACAGTCAGAGGTGTTTTCTGGTCCTAAAGCAGACTTACAGACCAGCAGCAGTCATTTAAACTCTGGAAGCCAGCACATCAGACCTGAGGACTGATGTAATGTGTTCAGTTTCTTTTGTCTTTGTTAGGAGTTACCAGAGGGTGTACACAATTCATTACTGATTTTTGGCTGCAGATGTGTGTTTACTATCTGCTCAGTATGCACAGTCCACAAGTAACACATACTGAAAAATTAAAAAAACAGGGGGGCAAACAGGAAATCCAAACCACCAGCTCTGCACCATCATAAGCCGTCTCACAGCCAAATGTGACAAAGGTTGTGTGCTGAATCTTGGAGGACTAAGCTGATATCTGATGGCCTCAAGTCACTGTCTTGACATTCGACTTGCAGGCATTCTGTCCCCACTGGTGTTCCCAAACAAACCTCCAACAAGTTGAACTCTGGCCCACTTAGAGGACAAAAGAGCAAGAGCTGGGTGGAAAAAAAAGAGGAAGAAAGGTAGTGAGAGAGGGGGAGAAATAGAGAAATGTTCTCAAGAGTAAATAGTAATGATACAATAGCAGTTGCAAAAAAGAAAGAAAGGATCTAAAAAATGTGACCGGTGCAGAGCAGCTCAGATTATTACAGGTCATTAACATACAGCAGTGTTACTGTATATGGGGGGCGGGATACAGTGATCCCGTAGGAATTGGAAGCTTTAGCAGGTGTGTCAGAGCTGCAACAGCACCCCCTAGAGGTCACACTGAAACACTGACATTTTCATCCTTAAATTTAATTTTCTTTTTTCTTTTATTTGATCACTATTAATTTCATTCGTATTATAGTTTTGCTTGTTTTGAATCTAATAAGTCAAGACTTAATATGGGCCTATTTTTGAAAATGTTCATCAGTTTTGTCCTCTGACATCTGCTGATTTACACTAATAATAGTAACAGAGATTATTTTATCCATTTAGCTTTTTGTATTTGAAAAATAGTCATTGTGATTATTAGGCCAAAAATGATTCAAATAAATCTCTGCTGCCACTGTTTTGGAAGAGAACAAGGGAGTTAATAAGTTGATACCTAAGATAATATGTTTGTTGATTTGATTGTCGTGTATCTACCACCACTTTTCACAGACATGTGACTGGAGCTGACAGTCACACTGATAGTCACATCATATTGACAGTTGTCTTATTGTAACCATGTTGTGGTTTGAGAACTGCAGACTGTGGTTTTCTCAATGTGGCTGTAGGCTGTGAAGAACCAGTAGAGATGTAACATCTCTGCACTTCAGCCCTTTTTTTTTTATGTCACACCTTTATTTTTGCTTTCACAATACAGCCTGAACATTGGTGCGGCGGCCATTAACAGTTGAGTCTGACACACTTATGGAATTGACCGGTTATAGCGAAAGGTCACGCAGTTAGATCTGACAGAAAAGGATGTGCCATATTGAACAAGACTAGTCAGCTGGTTGCCACAAAGCCTGTGAATGGGCCAGTGATGGTGAAACAGCTTCAGTAAACGAGATAAATAACTGAGCAGCTGACCATCTTGTGTCAGCACAACAATATAAAAATACTCCAATAACAGTAAAAGTCCTGCATTCATAATCCCACTTAAATAAAAAATAAAAAAGTACTTGGTTTCTGTGATTATATATCATTTTATAGATGACATTATTGGATAGTTTTTTGTTTTGTTTTGTTTTGTTTTATTGGTGAAGTAACGGAACAAGTAGTGACATGGGAGACATGGTGACTTAGAAAACATAAAAAAATATAAAACATAATGGATAGACTGAACTAGGGGTGTAGATTGGATTATGTTAGGTAGGGTATTTTGTAGAAGGGTGTTTGCATAGAAAGATGTTTAGGAGTACAATAATAATAATAATAATAATAACATTATTAATATGGAATTTGTCATTATATGATGTACAAAATATAATATCTTGACATATTTGTGTGTATGTTTGTATATATACAGCGGACAATAAAAAATGATTATTATTCATTTTGATAATCATTACTATAATTAACATGAAACAGGGCCCCATCTGACACACTGCTTTTCTTTATGGAGTCACAATCCAGTCAGGTTGGGAACAACTGGGAACCTCTTTAATAAAATGTTGTATTTTATAGTCTTATTATATTTGTTTTCATTTAAAATCTAATTAGTAACTACAGCTGTCAGGTAGATGTCCATTCCTTGTGTTGCATAAAATGTAAAGAAAGAAATTGTATTTGAGTAAATGCACTTAGTTACATTACACCACTGGTTCAAATCCAGTTGGGGAATTTTGTTGATGTCATTTCCCATCTCTCTCTGTTGCCTCATTTCCTGTCATCTGTCTGTTATCTTCTCTCCTATAAAGATAGAAACTACCCTCCAAAGTAAGCAGCTATTAATCATAACATACGCTGCTCAACTATCTAATAACTAATCAGTATCATCATCATCATCATCATCATCATCATCATCATCATCATCATCATCATCATCATCCCATCAAACATTTGTGTTATAGGAAATTGCTTAACATTATAGTCATCATCATCATCTTAATGATAAACCTCCACATAAAGACATGAAAATAAAACAACAAAACAAAATGAAAGTTCAATGAAAATAACTGTATAAAAAGTAAACCATAAAAACTTTGCAATACAAACAACTACAACTCAGTCTGATTCATGGGTCTGTGGAATAATACAACAGGTAGGCGGAGAGAGAGAGAGAGAGAGAGAGAGAGAGAGAGAGAGAGGGAGGAAGTGGTGAGGATGCTCTACAGTCGCTGCAGCACTTCATCTCATCTCACCACATTCAGTCAGTCTGCCAGAGAGTTCATACCACACAGCATCTGCCTATCATCGGTGCTTCACTGACCTCCATTCACCGCCATCTGCATACGACCATGTCTCTTCAGGTAAGAGGGCAGACAGCGTCCATGCCTGCTCAATAAACTATGTTGTTCTTCCACTCAACTTTGTTATTCAAGGAGGATGGAGCCAAGTTTTATTTCTGTTTGTGCGTCAGTTGCTTTCAGCTACAGGTTTGTCGTTGTTTATCTCCTGTAGTGAGGAATAATAGTGCTGTCATGAAGCCTCTAGGCCGTTTTTGTGTGTGTGTGTCGCTCAGGGGGAAGAGGAGCTGATGATGGTATCACAAGAGGAAATTAACTGCACTTCCCTTCACCAGTCAGAGAAAGAAAGTAAAATGTCGACAGTGAGCTGGATGGGGCTCTCATCGTTTACATGTATGCAAAGGAGGAGCTGGACGGTGCATGTCGTTTGAGAGTGCGCAGGTTTATTCACCTGAGCCTCAAGTACATACTGTCAGTATGGAATACACCCAACTAATGCAGTCTAATACAACAGCCCTGCACTGAATCTTACTGAAGCTCCGTGTTCACTTTGTGTTGAAAGTGTTTTTGAGAGCTGTTTAACAGGTTTGTGTTGCTGTTGACTTGTATTGCATTATACTGACAGGTGTTTCTAATATCTATTCTAGTCTACAATCATTGACAGTGTTACTATTTTAAGTTTATATTAAAATAAAAGACTGCGGTTTCCACTTAGGGAGGACTACAGTGCAGTTTCTAAAAAGGGTCAGTTTTTTATTTGGTTTTCCACTTTGGTACAGATATTCACAGTGGTTATTTCTTTGATGATTCCCCGAACCTTTCCTCTTGTACCACCAGCAAAAGCTCTAAATTTCGCACAAACATTCCCGGTCCTCAGATGTTGTGTCGTTTGTTGACCTCCTGACTTCTTGTCAGGACGTCTCAACAACTATTGGATGGATCGATATGAACTTTGGTACAAATATTCATGCCCATCTTGGGATAAATTGTAAATGGTAATAACTTCACTTTTCATCTTGCATCATCAGATCAACATTTTATTTCATCTATTACTTTGGATTATGACTAAACATCTCCAAAACTATAATGACATCCCCATCCCCCTCAGCTGTACTTTGTCCGTAGTGCTGATGAACGTTAGCATGCCAAAAACGCTAAACTACGATTGTGAACATGGTAAACATTTTACCTGCTGGACATCAACATATCAGCATGTGTCATTGTGAGCATGTTAGCATGTCAACATTAGCATTTAGCCCGAAAGCTAAAGCGCTGTGCCATAGAACATCCTGGCTGAAGGCTCTTAGTCGAAATAAAAGTACTGCATGTAAAAAGAAATTACTGTATTTTTATCTTTCGTTTTCATTTTAAACTTGTGTTTGCACTTTCATTTTAAACTAAATATAATAAAGAGCTTATCTGTGTAATACATGCACAGCTAAATATACAGCTGTCATTTGAAGAACAGAAAACTCAGAAGTGCATTTTATGCCTGAAAGGACCTTGTAACTGTATCAAAAACTTTGTAATCAATGCTTTCTATAGTGAAGTATCAAAGTATTAATTAGTGAGGAAATGATCTTTGTGTCCAAAGTGGCCACACACAGCTTCTGTTTTACTGATGTAAACAAAGATTTGTACCATTGCTGTGAAAAATAATTGGTCATTAGATTTATTAAAGTATAAGAGTAGAACATATTAAACACATGAAAAGTAGTGGTTTGAAGTAGGTATATGTGTATGAATTTGAATATAAACTAATGCCCCTTCAGTCTGTGTGTGGGCCTCAGGTTAACAGAGATAGTTGTTAGTGACTGGACAGTCAAACCCTCCAGTCCCTCAGTGAGTCCCTCTCACTGATCAGCAGTTCGGCAGACTAAGATTTCATTTTTGTCATTGTTGTGAATGGAAAGCCGTGCATCTAATCTCTCTGAGTGTGCAGAACACAAACTGCTGTATTAGAAATACTTAATCTAACATGTTTTCACCCACGTCGTGCTGTTACGTCACTCAGTCTGTTTTCGCTAAACCGCTGCAGAGGGAACCTGAAATGAACCGTTGAAGACTGTGTAAATATAACTAACCCCATTCACCACTCAGTCCACTAATCACTAAGTCTTGAAAAGGAATAATCTTTAGCAAGTTTTAGCAAGTTTCTTGATCTCTTGAGCCGCCTCCGATACAAATATGCCAACAAACTGCAAGGTAGATCCTTGACAAACAGTTTCATTCTCCATGAGTCAGACCACAAGACCACATCCTGAGGCAGTGCTTAAAATAAACAGGGGCTTGTCTGGTAGGATCTGTGCTTGATTTTGCAGGTTCACTCAAGACACTAAGAGATGTTTTTATTCCCCAGATATTTTTTTCATTTACAGTCCCTAATAATTAAGAGAATCCAGGGGCACAGCTTGTGAACAGGAGAGGCAGGCAACTGCTTGAAGCCATAGGCTGCTGACAAAGTTAACTCCACAGCGATGTCAAAATGTGGCTCCCTCCGCCTTAAACAACCAATGGTTAATTTGCAACAACGTTTCAGAAGCAGTGTTGCCAACTATTTTCAGTAGAGCCAGCACGCATAATCATTAAATTTCCAACTTCCCTCATTAGGAAACCTCCCTTTATGAGCACTGGCCTTATAATGTGGGCTATTTACAATGTGCCAATGTTGAAGTTATTTAGTTATTTATTTCGGTTTTTATGGTTCTTTATAATCTATATTTTGAAAATTATATGGTTTTTCACGTTCTTTATATCTATATTCAAAGAATTTTTTTTTATCTTGTTTATATTTAAATTTTGAAAATTCTACCAACGTACACATTTGGAATTATAAGAAATGTTTACATTTTGTACATTTTTCGTTGGTGTCACATTATTTATTACATAATGTTGATGAACGCTGATTAGAGAGAATCTTTTGCCTAAGGCCCCAACGGACTCTAGAATCGCCACTGAGCATATCCCTAATAGCTTCAACAATGCTGTTCCTTTGTGGACATTTTTCAATATGTCTGATCAACATAATACATTTAGCAGTTTTATTGGCCAGCAATCCACCAGCATTGTGTTCACTGCTTTGGCCTCTGTAGAGTCTTTGTATTATCAGAGTGTTGATTGCTAAACCTTTTGTAGGTGACAAATGCTGCAAATTACAACCCATCATTGTGGCAGTTTGATTCATGGCATGTATTTAACATAATGTAAAAATATAGATGATGCTGATTGAATCACCACACAATTCCTATGAAGATTTCATTTTAAAGAACATCCATATTTGGTAAATGTACCACAGTCATTTCTATATCACGCCCTGTCACCACACCACAATCAGCCAATCACCTCACATACTTCTAAGTGAGTTATTTGTTGTTTCCGTTTTGGTCATCGCTGTGTCCTTTTAGGGAGTCGAGGGCCACACATGTATGTGGGAGAGCAGTGAGTCTCCTCTGCGTACTGTTACAAAACAGGGGGATTTGGTACGTAATGGTTTTTTCAATCCCTCTTAATTGGGATCAAAGGTTTTGTTGTGCAGGATTCTGGAGTTAAAGACTCAAGCAAACACTGGTGGTCCTTCAGAACTTAGCAGCACCTCAGACAGACAGGTCTGCACATTGTACAGGTCTGTGAGTTATATCAGAGTTTTGGAAAAAGACAAACTGCTGAAGTTTTTGAGGTTTTTGAGATCGCTTTAAGCCCCGAGACACTAAAGCAACTTGAGTGATCGATCGTAGTTGTGCAGTTTTTCACCAGCTGACGCGTGCTTTGCATTGACATTCATGCAAATGCCACACACTGTGTAACTCCTCTTCCCTCTACCTCATCTACAGGAGCAGTGTACCTGAAAAATGCAGTTTTGGTAAAGCCCAATTCAAGGTAAATCACTGCGTCTGCTCGCTTCATTATTGAGTGGGGGAAAAAGGAACTCACGTATGGCAGAGCTTCCCTCTAATCAAGTTCTCTCTGTCCAAAAGATGTCAACCGCAACCACCGACAGTGTAGTAGAAGGAACCAAAACCTCTAAAATGTCAAAGGATCATAAAAAGGTAAGTGGACATCATCATTGTTCATCAATTTATTTTAAAACCTCAAACATCCTGTTTTTGGTAGACAGATGCAGATGACAGATGACTCACACATGTAACATCATAACTGTTATAAATGAAACCTTTCAGCTGTAGCCTACCTTTATTTCAAGAAAAAACAGTTGTTTTCCAGGAACGTAAAAAACAAACAACGTAGATTTCCTTGTCTATCTGTCAGAAATAAAGGTTTAAAGGAGCTATGTGTCATAAAAAAAATTATGAAATTTCAGTCTGCGTAAAACAAAGAACACCAAAACTACAGCAACAATTTTTGTTGTTGTTGTTGTTGCCAGCACAAGATGCCAATGCATTTCCGCATATTTTCACTTGTTGAAATTTTACACTGACTTTATCTTGCATTTGTAAAAGGAGGCAGTGCAGTGTTTCATGTGTCTGGACAAGTCTGTGTGTCAGTTTGCAATCACATATACTAATACCGTACATTTAACAAGCCTGCATGAAGGTTCAGTTTTCAAGTACATTGTGTTGTCTGAGTTTTAACCCCCAGAACCAAAAATGAGGAAGACATACTTTTATATGAAAGGCGTGTTTACTTCCTCCACCATGAAAGTCCTGTTTGCTGTTTGGTTTGTGTGTCTGGTTTGTGTTAGATGTGAGATAAGCTTGATGAAGTGTCTACAGCTATGCTAGCAGCTCTGTGAAGCTGTTCCAAGGCAGAGCAATTCTTTGAGCTAAATGCTAATGTCAGCATGCTAACTTTGCTCATAGACCAAAATATCAAACAGACTGAAATTCTGACTTTCTAATGGCAATGGATGAAAAAATAAGGTCTAAGCAAATTCTCCTTTCTTTAACAAACTTCTCCTTTCTTCTTCCCGGTGTTGTTAGCCCACAGCATCCATCCTGAGAGGAGCCATCCAGCTGGGCATCGGTTACGCTGTGGGAAACCTCAGCTCCAAACCAGACAGAGATGTTCTCATGCAGGACTTCTCTGTGGTGGAGAGCGTCTTCCTGCCCAGGTACACACTCATTTAAATACACCTTTTTATTTTTGACATTTGGTTCATGCAGTTTGAGAGAGCTGAGCCTCTGATCCATTAATGTCTTACATTGACTTCACCTTGTTTCATGATGCACATACTTGATCGATTGTATACCCAAATGATTGAAAGACTATATATATATATATATATATATATATATATATGCAGTAAGTGTGCAATTTCTCAGTCTTTTATGGAAGAGAAAACTGTACACACTTTCACAAAATGTATTACATATTTCCTAATGACCACAACCCAAAACTACATTTTCACCCCCCACCCCAACAAAATTGTTACAAAATAGGCCATGTTTAACTTTATTGACTTATCAAAATAATGAACATGAACATTCATGTTCACAGATGCAGCTTTTACAAACCGATGTTCCTGCTGACGATATTCACTGAGTTTTCTCTTAAAGAAGTCGAGTGGTTTATTGACAGCACTCTGGGGTGTAATGTCTCAAAGTGTCTTTTTAATTTGTTGGGTCTCATACTGTCAGCTACCAGAGTTTTCAGACAACACTGTGAACCCAAGAGCAAGATAGGCTTCGTCATATTTTCTTTTTGTCGGTTACCGTCAGCTGAGCACGTTGTATTTGCTGGTCTCAGAAGCATCGCTTGTTTTTCTTTTCGTCCCTGTCAAATATCTCTCCATTCTGAAAACCAACAGACCTGAATGCAGTGGCTATAAAAGGCAGGTGAAAGCGCGTTTTTTATGGTTCCACCGTGAAAAACATTCCGACGTCCAAACATTAGTTCCTCCCCTTTTCCCCCTGGGGGCGCGCTACACACTTTGTGAATCGCTGCCTTAACAAAACCATACAACATTAGTAGAAAACTATGGCACCTGTAAAATAAAGTGTATATAGTGTATATTCAACATAGTTTTAGTGCTAAAAGATAAAGGGATACACAGGATACATGTGCAAGAAAAATAGGGAAGTCACTTTAAGAAGTGTACAACCTGAATATTTCTGGTTGAGTAAAAAAACCACACATTGCAGCAATAGGCATTTTGCGCAGCAGAAATCATGACTTGTCATAGTAGGAAAAACAAAACTGATAACGGCCCTGTTGTATTCAAGCCCTGCCAGTGTGACAGTAAGCCAGCATCATCATTCATTTTGTTATTTGTGATTTTGTTGCTTTCCCTGTCAAAAAAGTAGCAGGCAGCTATTGTTGTGTTATTGTATATTGACTTTTTTTTTCTAACAATAACACCTTTTGTTTATCCTCTAGTGAGGGCAGCAACCTGACTCCAGCACATCACTACCCAGACTTCCGGCTGAAAACATACGCCCCGCTGGCCTTCCGCTACTTCAGAGAGCTGTTTGGCATCAAACCGGACGACTACCTGGTGAGTGCGGGGGACTCTCAGACACAGTCACATTCATATCATCATCCTGATTCAGCTCAGTGCGGTGGAAGTTTCCACCGAGTTCACTGCAAAACTGAAAGTGTCACATCGTTCTGAATTTCAGTACTCCATTTGCAACGAGCCTCTGATCGAGCTATCCAACCCCGGCGCCAGCAGCTCGTGGTTCTACCTCACCAGTGACGATGAGTTCATCATTAAGACGGTGCAGCATAAAGAGGCGGAGTTCCTGCAGAAGCTGCTGCCTGGTTACTATATGGTGAGCTGCTCCACCGACACAAACTCTCTCTTTTCACAAGCACACCAAGGCCCAGGTTTATCAAACAACAAAACATCTGTAACCTGAAGTTTACATCCTTGTTGTACTTGCTTGTGGTCCTCCTCCGTCTGGGCCTTGGTTGACACATTACCATGTTCTTTGTGTGTTACTGTTGGCAATTGTTAATCAGCTGAACAGTATGAAACTGGCAGTAGGAATAAGTCTCGCGTTGCTCACATGTTTGTCCTCGTGTGTCCTCGTGCACATAACAAAACAAGATAACGGTTAACTCAGAAAACATTTCTCCACAGCAGTAGTAATATTTGAAAATAACATTTTTTTTTTTCAGTTTTCATTTTCATACGATGTTGATTGCTGCTTGTGATTTTTGCTCTGCTGTCAGTAGAGTGAGCATCTTGATAAACATCCAGTGAAAAACGTTTTTCTCCTCAGTTGGTTCTGTGTATAAGTGTATTTCTCAGAAGTCTGATAATCATCATCATCATGTCCAACCTGCTGAGAAACATAAGGATGTGGTGATACATCCGAGAACATGTATAACATGTGCTGTGTTACTCAGGGTTATCTCTTTTAGTTTCAGTCTCAAGGTTTGTCAGGCTTTGGATTTAGTCATTTTCTGGAAGTCTTTTTCAAGGACCTACACACATCTAAAAAACCATGTTAATAACACTGTTAAGTATGCAAAGAATTCAGGTTTCTCTTAACTTGATAAGTTTCTGAGACTCAGCTGTCTCTGTTCAACATTATACTCAAAAAAAATATTGGTCTTTGTTGTAGAATCTGAATCAAAACCGGAGGACGTTGCTGCCCAAGTTCTACGGTCTCTACTGCATCCAGTGCAGCGGTTCCACCATCCGCTTGGTGGTGATGAACAATGTGCTGCCGCGAGCCATGAAGATGCACTACAAGTACGACCTGAAGGGTTCCTCGTACAAACGGCGTGCCTCGCGCAAAGAGCGCGCCAAATCCTCGCCCACGTTCAAAGACCTGGACTTCCAGGAGATGCACGAAGGCCTGCACTTTGACCTGGACAGATACAACGCCCTGATGAAGACTCTGCAGAGGGACTGTCGGGTGTGTTCACAGAACGATCTTATATCTATTAACACAGCAGACCATGATGTTGGCATTCTGGGTAATATGAAGCTCAGGATGCCTGTTCTACTAAGCCAGTGGTTTCCAAACCCACTTGAAATTCTCAGAGATGTTGGCAGCCCACATCTGACCCGATAACAATATGGAACCTAAATAATTAGTTTTCTGACCACTTGACCACTTGAACTGAAAGCAGAGGAAACATGTAGAAGGCTCCAGTCTCCACAGTGGCTCATCACAGTCATAGGAGCTTTTAAACATTTCTAATGTTTTTAAAGATCATTTCGTTATAAAACATTGGAAACATTATTTATGTACAGTTTATATATTTTATATATAATAACATGTATTGCAAATGGTTTGTCAGCTCACTTGCAATACCTTCACAGTCCACTAACGGCCCACAGCCCCACAGGTTGGGAACCACTGTACTGAGCAAAAACAGTGTAGGGATTTTAACATTTAAGCAGAATTACAGATATTTATGATTGCTGGAAAGAAGATTTTATCATTCTGACCTTATTTATTTCACAAGCAAAATCCTAGAAGATATATGAAAAATGTCGACACTGACAACAACTTAAACACTACCAAGTAGACAAAATAACAGCCTCATGGCTGACACTCTGGATGATTTCTTAGAGTGTTATTAGAAACTAAATATGTCGACTTTGTCCTGAGGGTAGTACTAAAGGAAAAAATTCTCTTACTAAGATTGAAAGGGTTTAGAGCGCTGGAATTAAATGAAATACACTTTCCCATAATGGGAAACAATCCTTGCCAGCAGTTAAAAGAGAAGATCCATACCCCTCTCAGGTCTGTATGCTAAATATGAAGCTACAGCTAGCAGCTGGTTAAGATCATTTCAATGATATAAAGCAGAGAAAAACTCACATTTGAGACATTGGAACCAGAGAATGTTTGGATTTTTTTTTTTTTTTTTAATCTTAAGCGATAAATCGCTAATCAAAATTGTTGTTTGTCCGATTAAATATTGAACTTATCGTTTTAGCACTAAGACCACTCACAGTGGTTTTAAATCTTTCCTCGTCACAGCCTGAACTGAATTCCCCGCACAGCTCCACCCCTTGGATAACATTATGCAACCATGACAAGCCCCCTTCGTTCGGGCTTTAGTTGTTATGATGACCTCATTAGTGGCTGCCTGTTATTTCATTAATGTGAAACAATAGTGGCCACTTGATGGAGTATTAACCCCCAGCAAAGCGAAGCACCTGACTCGTGTAATCAGGCTGAGCAGCTGGACTCTGCGGCACAAACTGGCCTGTCTGTGCGTAATGTGCTCTTATCGGGGCTCGGTATGTGACCTCCGTAAGTGTGTTATGTAACACAGTTGAAAAGTAAAGGCCTCTTTGTTTACAGCAGCTACTTCAGGATATCAAAGCTTGGTCAGAGGGATTGTACTGTATTTTTGGTTTGTAGATCCACGTTTAGTCCCTTTAACTGGAAGCAGTTTTGACGTCGGAGAGGTCGATTTACAGCTTGTTTAAGAGAAGTGTATGGTGGGTGGCGGGTGTTATTTTACCCTTTAAATATCTTGTTTTATTTCATTAAGCAGATACTGATTATTAATTTGCACAAATACCTAGAAGATGATGATCTTACCCCCAAAATAATGACTGTTAGAGACCATTTACCCCCTACAGGGAAAATTCTCTTTTGTCTTGCACTGTATTACATGGAGGTCAGAGGTCATGGTTGCAAAGCTGTGTCTCAATTTAGGGACAGGATCCTTTTAGAGGACATCTTCTGAAGGCCAGATTGTAGAACATACACTGATTTGTCGCTCAAAATAAAAGCTGCATTTTTCCTCCGTATATGGAGGAGCCTCTAAACTGTAACAGTGTTGTCAGCAGTTTTTACAACTTAAGCCTCCAAATGAGGATTCATCCTTGTCTTCCCGTGTAATACTTAAACATCCCTGCCTTTTTTAAATTGATCTTTCAGTTTAATTGCCTCTCATTTTGGTTGATCACATTCAGTTTCTGCCTCTGATCAGGTCTTAGAGAGCTTTAAGATCATGGACTACAGTCTTCTCCTGGGGATTCATGTTTTGGACCGGAAGCCTTTGAGCAGAGGAAGCCGATGTGACAGCAGGAAGGGACAGAAAGTCCTCTACTCCACCGCCCTCGAGTCCATCCAAGGGACTGTGAAGGACCCCGAACCTGTGGCCGATGACGACACGTGAGAAAACCTCTTTGTGAACACTACCTATCTGTGCGGTGCTTGTACCACTTCTAATATGAACAAATACAGTTTTTTTTTTCAGCTTGATTTCATATGAGTTGTCAGTCATGTTTTATTCAGTGTGCAGGTGTTGCCTTTATTATGCTAAAACAACTCTCAAATTTCTTTACGGTTAAAGTGTGTATGAGGTCTGTCAGTGTTTCTCTGATCTGTCTACTCTGCTCTTTTCTCTTTCTTTTCTTTCTTTTCTCTTCTTCTGTGTTTTCTTCTGTTTTCTTACACAAATTTCTTTCCCATATGAAATTTTGCACAAAAACTTGATTTGGTCCAAATGACAATAATCAAATATGGGAACGAATGTAGTGATGCTGTCGCTATGGCAAGAGCTTAAAACTTTAACAAGTTTAAAAGTTTTACCAAAATGTAGGAAATCATAAAGTCGAGAACTCTTTTATTAAAAACTGTAAAAATCCATTGAAACTTTTTTTCCTTTTCAGATTTGGTGGAATTCCTGCCAAACATAAAGATGAGAACCTGCTCATCTTTTTAGGGATCATCGACATCCTTCAGTCGTACAGGTGAGCTCACAGTACAACCCGCCCACCCCCCCCCTTCTTTCAGCACAAGCGCAATGCATGATGGTATATGTCGCTTAGTTAGTGAGCACTGTACACTACTTCTCACGATGCATTGTGGGATACTACGTGTCCACTATATAGGGTATGATAATGTATTCTCATTATACATTCAGGCAGCGCTATAAAATGACAAATTACTATACAGAGGAGTTTATAGTGAGTATGTGAGTGACTTTGGACACAGCCTTAGTCTGTTTACTCACATTCATATTTCGCCAGAGACGCGGCAGTGCGGAGGCTGTAGGTCATTTAGTGTTTGGTCTCATCTCTGAATGCTTAATTATAATCAATCAATAAACAGACTGTATTTTAACATTTTCATTCTAAAAAATGTAAATCTACTTTGTGTTCATTGATTTAGTATCCTTCTTCTTTCTTTGAACGATGAATGATAAATTCAAATTCTAAAATGAGTTAAAAATTTAATTTGAAGAAAGCTTTTAATTTTCACTTTTTATTATTACATTTACTCATGTGTCTGCCTGTCATATTCTATCCCACATGGTTTTTTCTCCTCCGGGTGCAGCATTTACTATTCACCATTTCATGATCAATTAAGTTTTACTTTTTTAAATGTATTTAAACACTGAAAAAAATGTCTAGAATTATTCTGTTGGCCCATGCCAGATTCTGTAGACATAATATGTCAATAGAGTCTGTCCCGCCTGACTCCATAGTCATACAGTATACTGTATTTATGATTACTGCCATTTAACGTTGTACATTTGCAGGTTCATTAAGAAAGTGGAGCACTCTTGGAAAGCTCTAGTGCATGATGGGGTATGTAACTTCACTTCCTCTGTACCTGCACCTTTATATAGCTACATCAATACTATATGTATCTCTTTGTGTTTGCGTGTGTGTATGTGTGTGTGTGTGTGTGTATCTAAGAGCTTTCTTTGTTTTTCAGGACACGGTGTCGGTTCACAGGCCCAGTTTTTATGCAGACAGGTTTCTGAAATTCATGGAATCGACTGTGTTTAAAAAGAGTCACCGTAAGCTCTTCCACCAACATAACTCCTGTGTCCTGTATTCTCTATACAGATTGGTTTAAGTTTTTCCTTTTAATGCTCTCCTTCTCTGTCTCTCAGCTTTAAGAGGAGCATCTTCAAGGAGGAAGAGGAGTTCCCTCTACGCAGTAAAGTCAGCCTCTCAGGAGTTTCTGTCTCCACAGAAGGAGGAGAAGAAGGAGGAGAAGAAGGCGCAGAGCATGGACAACCTGGATGGAAACTGTAAGCTAAGATGACATTTTAGCAAACATTTTTGTATTTTTTTTTTTTTTTTTTTTTAGGAGAGGCTTTGATTCACTGATCGATGAACTGCTTGTTCCAACAGTTTATAGTTCCTCCAAACAACCAGATCTTCTTCCGAGGACTGCTGTTTCTTTTGAGTCCACCCGAAATGACGAAGAGGACCTTGAAAACAGGTAGAGTATTTGTACAGCTCTCAGATCTAAGCCAAGTATCTTTTAAGTGAGCTTATCTGGACTTCATAACAGTTTGATAACTTCACATGCACAGAAGCAGCCGTGCTAGCAGCTCAGTGGTGATTTAAGATAAAAGTTCAGCAATGTGTTTAACCAGCGCGAAACATAAAGCCTAAAGGGAAGGTTGTTGATAAAACTGGTGACCACAAGGCAAGGATACGAATGCACGAGTCAAAAACATGGTTTCAAAAATATTCAAGGTCTTTACTTGCAACACTTGGAAAGGCTGAAACGCTTGTCATGGAGAATGAAGACGAAGTAGCACAGAGGGAGAGGAGCACAGAGACTAAGCCCTGAACCCTCGTAGTCGTAATTGACGTCATCTGTTAAGTGACTGAGTGTGAGAAGCTGTCAGGGCTCGAAATGGTAAAAAAAAATAATAATAATAGGAATGGGACTGCATTCATGTTACTATGACAACACCAAAACATTGTGCGCACAATTGTGGGCTTGGGGCTTTTGATGTTACATTTTGTATTTCCTCCCTTTGTAAAAAAAAAAAAAAAAAAAAAAAAAAAATGTTGCATAAGACACAATCGTAGCGGACTTGACAGTTTAACAGTGGGACAGCCCTCATGGATTTAGCAGGAAGGCACCTCAAAGTCTGTCAGTCTGTGAGGGTGGACATTGGGATTGGGCCTAAATACACTAGGAGAGGGGGAGACAATGAGACACAGGTGCAACAAATGAGGGGCGGGGCAGACAATCCCAGAGGTGGGAAACACAAAGGCAGGAAGTGGGGATCTGAAACGAGGAGGAAAAGGTAAGTGACACAAAAATAAAACAGGAAATACTTCAAAACTCAAAAGAGAAAACATGAGAGGGGACACAGGGACTTGTTGTTAAGATATTACAGTCTGGACAGAAGTGGTGGACAGATTGATCAACAGAACGAAAATGCATGTATTAGGGGAATTTGAACAAGTTTGAGGAGTCCCATTTTTCTTTTATACAGAATTTAGAAAAACCGGTTCAGTATTTTGAAACTGAGGTTTGGCTTCGTGCTTGACATACAGTAGAATCGAGGTGACTAATGTTGCATCAGTTTGTGCAAACCCTTAAACATTATTACATTAACCTGTGTTTACGTTTTCCTGAGAAGTGACTTCCTTTGGCCGTGTAACTGTGCGTCTCTCAGAAGCAAAGGAGGAAGTAGTGTGTGACTGTTACGTCATAGTGTCGTAGGTCCTCTCAGAGAGGAGGTCGGGGTGGATGGTCTGACCATGAACCTGGAGACTGCTGTTAGCGATCCGTCTCCTACCAACTGTTAACCTTGTTTTTATAAATTAACCACACCTTATCCATAGGCAAATAAAAAACAATGGGCATGTGAATCCTTTTTTTGTCATACAGTAGGAAATGAGTCATTTTGGAAAGGAAACAGGTTAAGTTTGGAGGTTGTGTTGAATTTGTGAGTAAAAGACAATTATGAATATCATCAATATTTAAGCTACAAGCATAATGTTCAAACATACATCAGTACTATTTACTAGTATATTTTATATTTACTAGTATTTTTATGTTACAGTGAGGACCGACGAGCCTCAAGTTCAACAATCGCTCTGGACGATCCTCTGCCGTCCCTCAGCAGAAGCCAATCAGAGTCTGAACTGGACGTCTACTTGGTAGGAAGTATTTCATACCGATACAATCTGCAAAAAAATTCTGTTACAAGGTCTTAAAGGATGAGGCTGGTATTATCCTATATTCATTTCACTGTCAACAAATCCCAACCAGTCAAAGAACAATGAAGAAGAAACAAAGTCCGACTTTTAATAATGTCCATCCTACTTTGTCTGTGTCTCTCAGCTCCAAGAAAAATATAGAACATCACCAGCCTCATTCTTTACAATCCTACTGACCGGAAATCTGCTAACCATTAGTTTGTAGATAATTTTAGTATTAATATTATTGTCATCATCGTTTTTGCCAAAACTGCAATGAAATCTAATTAGAGGAGATCAATCTCCGTTTTTATCGTCCTAAAACAGTGATTATGAGGTATTTGTTGGTGAAACTTTTCACCCAAATATAACATCAGGTCCTCCTCATCCCTCATTTAGACGCATGAGCATGCAGACTGCCCTCACCTGTTTACTTATTCTACAGTTCTCAAATGGTTATTAATTATAATAATATATATATAATATAATAATTAATTAATTATTAATTATTGGTTATTCTCAACATATTAAAACTTTTCTAAGGTGTGAAGCCTTTTTTGTAATATTACTTTTTGTTTTCTTGTTACATAATAATAATAACTACATTCTCGTAACTGTACACATTTTCATATTCTCAGATCAGTTTCATTGGCCCTAATACTTTGCACTGGTGTATTTGGGAACATTATTCCAGATGAACTCAGGGGTCACTGGGTGTCTCTGCATTTTCAGCATCACACAGACTCACCCAGGCGACTCAGCTGGAGTTGATCAGTCGTTTCTGTCCAAGCATCCATAAACTGTAAGCAGCAAATGACATCCATAAACTCTTCTACTGATTTTTTTTTTATTTTTTAAATTTATTATTGATCTTCTTTTGTGGACAAGACACTGTTTCACTGGGCGATGTCAGCTTCACCTCTGGATTGTGTCATCAACAAATGACACATGCTTCCTTCTGATGACAGAGCTTTGCCTCATCATAACCACTGTAGAAACATGTAGACATGAACATAACAATCTGACCTTCAACCCTAACCCTAGAGAGATTACTATCCATTAAATGATTACATCTTTCCGCTTAACGCTTGCCATTCTCCCAGCATGCAATTTCTCTCATCTTCATGTAACTTTTCTTCTTTGGTGGTAGTGGCACTTGGTTTCCTAGAGGCCGCCCTGGCATCCTGTGACGTCCATACTGTATGACTCAGCTTACATGTGTGTCAGCCTGAGAAACCTCCATGAGTTTCTTTTCTACAGAACTTCTCTTACATAAGCACAAAATCCTCATTCAGGCTTATACAGAGCTGTTCTTCAGCCCACATTAAGCATTTTCACTCTGTGGGAAGCCTCCAGACGTCGGAGTTAATCTAATCTCAAAGCCTCTGACAGAAAACAGTGGGATTCGTAAACTATGGTGATTTATCTGCCAGCCTCCACTTGTCTTCTTAACACTTATTTTTACCTATTTGCTCAGACAGATGATCCTCACTGTTTTTAACCTTTAACCACAAAAAAAACATTAAGGCAGGACTGTAAGTACAGTGGTGTTCTTTACCCCTTGATTTCATTGTCATTTAAAGGATCGTAACAGTGTCTGAATGGTTTTGCTGCTAAATTGTGCAAACACAATGTTCTGGGCCTTTAAATTACACAACGATGAAATGCAGGGCACGACTAATTTCTACACAGACTCTCAAAAAAACGTGTGTGTGTGTGTTTGAAGCATTATTTAAACATTAAAATTATGTAAAGATTGTTCTCACTCATTGGAATTTCCAATATGCAAAAATAAGGATGCAGAATGGATGGATTAAGAGACAATGGGCCCCTGGGTGCAGACACCACCACCATACCTTGTAACTGTTCAAGTTTTAATTACTTCATTTCTCAAACCAACTGTTGTCCTATGTTACCTAAATGGGAAAAAATATATCTTTTTTGTTTGTTTGTTTTGTCTTCTAGTGAGGGAAAGTGAGTGATGGGGTCCTCTCCAGCCACCTGTACGTCTGACCTTTGACCTCCCAGTCCCACTGCATCAAGACATGAGGACCTCACACCAGTGTAAAAGTGACACAAACTACAGGCGGCAACATGTTGATGTCAGTCTCTCCACAGTGAGCCTCACTCCGTGCCACTTTGACTTTCCTTTGCAAGTCAAACTAAATGTGCCAAATCCCATCAGTAACAGATGTGGAAACAGTCAAAACACATAGATAGCGTTTTTTCTGTGTGTTTAGGATCACTGAATCCCCGTGTTAATATAAAACACTATCATTCTGCCTCTTCTCCTGTTCTTGTACTATTTGCTGCTAACAAACAAACTGAGTGTCAGTGTGTCCTCTGCTCTTGGACGTCTGATTTTCTGTGTAAATGTTCACATTTCTCAACGGCTGGATCCCTGAGGAAATAAACTGTCTTATTGCTTCTTAATCTGTTACAGAAGAAAACATTTTCCTGTTATTTTCAAATCATATATTTATACAGAGATGTGTATTGAGATGTTTCTGGTTTCAAGTGTCTGCATGAAAAATTCCATACAAACCTTGCAAACCTTATGTCAAAGTGATTTTTAAAATCCCAATTTCCATAAAACAATCTATCAATATTCAGATACACAGTAATTAGTTTAATATTATTCAAATATGAAGAATCTGCTGCCACCATGACAAAAATACTGACCCAGTGTCCTATGACAAAAAGCGTTTCTAGGTTTTCATGTTATAATTACATAATTTACTCATAGGTACTATAGCAATACGATGCCAAACTACAGGATGTAAAATGATTAATGCTTAATTAAATGCTATAATCACATATTTTCTTCAACAGTTTTCAGTTTTTTTTGTGTATTCTTGTGTCATTTCTCTAGAGAATGTACATTTTGTCTCCACTGGGATTTAATGAAACTGTTATAAACTCTGAATCCTGCGGGTAAATAATGACCATTATGTCAGCTGTCTTTTCTTTTTTGTCCACATGCCTTAAAAAAATGTATAAATGTGTGCTTTGATGTGATTTATAGGTCTACAACTGTATTATAGCAATACTTGTATCTGTGAAATAAACTAATATTTAATGCCCTTACATTGATATTTGTATCCTTTCTTGAAAACTATAAATATTATTATTATCTACACCTCAATAACAGGTTATACAGTATTAAATTACAGTTACGACTTAAATGATTTTAAATGGGAAAATATTCAGTATATTTATACAGTTTCCTAGTAAAATATATAACTGAAGTAAAAAAAAAGGAGGCATTCTATCAGCACCTATTATTATTGGACCCATTAAGAAATATTTACCATTTTGGGAATTTGTAATAATAATAAGAATCAATTGTCATATTTTATTTAGACACAAGGGGGCGCAGCAATGATACAGACATACACACAAACAGAAGATGGTAATGGAAAGTTTTGTCTTGAGTGGTCTGACCACTACTTCATACTGTTAAAGGATGATAAAATGAATCTTTTTCAACAGCTGAGTTTACAGAGTGATTGCACCATCTTTCTGGGGTATATCAATATGTATGAATGTATTTTGTCCATCCAGTTTTATTAAATGTGGATCTGACTGCTTACATTCACCAAATGTCATTTTTATTGTGCAGTGATGTTCTGCGTCAGTGTTCACCCACTGCTGTTTTACTGCGCGAGAGTGAAGCCAACACCGCACGTTTAGAGGATTGAGCTTAATCTGACTTGGATGTAAACATCTGCCAGAGGTGGAAATTAACTGAGTGCATTTTCCTCATTCCTCATCTGTTTTCAATGTAATTTTAAAGTATCTGCCATTTTAGTTGAGAATTTACAATTTAACTATAAGCTTTTTTTTTCTTCTTTAAATGCCTATATTATACAATCAGGGATGTACCTCTGCTTTTATTTAAATTCATCAGATGACTCAGTGGCTTGAAAAGGACTGAATCTGTGTTTATTCATCTCTCAAGTTTCATTATAACAGTTTTGGATGGGCTTTTCTGTTTTCTAACATCAGACATGCCTCAGTGTCTGAACCTGAACAGGTTCAACCAGTCAGACAACAATTAAAATCATAGCCCCACAGTTGCATTCATTTATACCATGCACATAGGTACTACATGATTAGTATCCAACTATGGAACAAATGTCAGCAGAGGTGAAACCATGTGGTTAATTAATGTTGCTGTCCCTTTCAATGTGTAAATGCATTGGTATTCAGAGGGATTTCTAAGAAGAAAAAAAAATCTAATTGACAAATGATATCAGCATGAGACGATATTTCACATGTGAAATGTAAGAAATCACATGTAAAATACACTTCATGTGTGATAGATTCATTTTCATAAACCCCTTTTTAATTTCACCTAACTAATGGATGATACATTTGAAGCTTTTTATTGTCCATTTAAATATCAACTGATCAACTGAAACTGAAAGCTGATTGATAAATCTTTATAAATGTGTGTCAATCTTTTAGTAATCCTTCTTCTTAGTGTCCAATTATATATGAATTGATAGAATGCTTTTTTATCCATTTTTCACCTGTTGTCCTCCACATGAAACACACATTAACTGGTATTTTAAATATTATTTTGATGGAATTAAAAAAACAATATATAACATCTGTTTATTAATGGGATTAATAACAGAACATCATCAGCCCGTCAAGTCCACAGTCTGTGGTGAAATAGGAAACCTATGCGGAATTTGTTAAAGTGAAAACATTCATTACCTTGTGTTGTCAGCTCGAGATTTCCGTTTATTTGTCGTTAAACTGAGTCATCATGTCACATTTAGGTTACAGTATGAGTGACTCAGGAATGACACCGCCTCCGCACCCACAGGGAGTCACAGCAGAGCTGCAGCGGCCTGCACGCAACACACCTGCAGTTTCTAAACCACGCCCATATACCTGCGAGAACCAGGAAATCGCTTCATTTGGACCGGGCGAAATCAAAATACTTACCAGAAAAATCTGTCTCGTTACAACTCGCATCGTCCTCAGCCTCCTTCTCATCCAGCTCTGCCTGTGTTATTCTGCTGTGGTCACATTAAAGCAGGAAGCAGACGGAGTTTCACCTGGTAAGTTGATCCACTGTGTTTCGCCATGAATGTCGACATGTTTTCACCGTGTCTCGTTGCACTGTCTGCCATATTAGGACATTTTACTGTCTACACTCGTCTATACTTTAAGTCATAGCATTTCTATCGTTGTGTTAAAGAGAAAAAAACTCAGTTATTACCGCGTTTATTTGACAGTTTCTTGTGAGCCAAACTACAAATGTTAGTTACGATGTGTTCAGGCCTCAGTGTTGCTGTTGCAGTTTCTGCTTTGTGCTCATTCATGCCTTGTACCAAGCCCCAGTACACACACACACACACACACACATACACACATACACACAAAGTCTTCTGTATTCCCAGTGTGTGGCGTGTGTTTCTACCGGATAGGAACCATTATTTTGAGCAACTTAACTTAGTTTACAGATGTGTAAAATAACTTATTTTAAAGTTTAAAGTACGCTACCTTTACTGAAGTGACTAAATACACCTTTCTGATTAGACTACCTTCTCCTCCATTTTATTTCATAGGGTAATATTATAGTTAATTACTCCACTACATGCCTGATATTAAGAGTTACTGGTTACAGGCTGTACACTCAGTTGCCAGTTTATTACCCAGCTAAAATAATGCAGGCTAAAATAACAGCCCAGCAATACACAGGCCAGTAGCTTACAGTACTGCTTACTTAAAGTTACAATGTTAAATTTAACTGTTCACTCAACTGTTGTTGAGTTAACTTTATGGTAATTTTGTAGGGAGTTTGTGGTGCCGTTGAATTTTAATCTTAAATTTGAATTCTACTCATTTGTGCTATGCAGTGTTTTTAATGTTTAGTCTATCATACCCCTAGTATAGACTCAGGTGGCAGTTTATTAGGTACACCTAGCTAAAACTAACAGTCTAATACAATAGCCCTGAAATAAACCCAGCTTTCATGATGGTTAATGTTCAGTTGTTGTTTAAACTGTTTTTAGAGAGGTGTACAGTCAAAGTTATGGTCATTTTGAAGGCTGCAGTTTGTGGAACTGTTGAATTATATTCTGTTATACTAAGTGTTTCTATTATTTTGTCCACCCTGTTTATATCAATGAGGGTAGCACCTGTTTAAGATTCAACTGTATGGTCATTTTGTAGGATGCACTGTAGTTTGAAAAAGCCTTCTCTGCAACAGTCCCCTTTCACAGCAGACATTTTGACTTTTCATAGCAGGAAATACATAGGTGTTATAATAACATTAACAATGGCTCCTTTCAGTTCAAGTGTACCAGTAAGCCATTACATGTTAACAGCGAGCTAGCATGCACAATACCAGTAACCTTAAACAGAAGCAACTAAATAGAATCCAACCAATCATTTTAATCAACTGTGCATATCAAAGTGTCTTCGATGGGGAAAAAAAAGCCTTCTGGTGGGGTCTGTCGCTCAGCAGGTACCACATGTCCTCCACTGATAGCACAGTTTGGTTGTGTGGTTTGACTTCTCCTGACCACATGTCCAAGTGTCCTTGACCTGGTGACCAGGCCAGTTCTCTGAATGGCAGCTCCACTGTCACTGGAGTGAATGTGGAAACGAGAACCAATGTAATACACTTTGTCCTGCTGACTTGTTGTCTAAATGCTGCTTCAGGTTGTTATAACCAACAAATTCCTAGAAACAATAGGTTATTATTAATAAATCAGTTTGCCTCTCCCGGTCACTTCACGTTCCCTGAATTTTAATGATTATAATAATTATAATAATTATAATAATGAATTATACCTGTGTAGGGCACGTGCACACACTGACTCTCCTTAGTGTTTGTCAGTCTCTCTCTCTCGCTCTCTCTCTCTCTCTACACACTCTCATCACAGATTTGTGAGTGGCATGTGTCCCCTCCATCTGGCTTGCACATGCATTGCATATGGACATTGCATAATGGCCTTGGGCCTTAGTGATGCAGCATCACAGCGCTACTCGCAACACGTGTGGGAGTGACAAGGGGCAGAGAAACAAACTGCTTATGTAAAAGCATTAAGACAGCCAAACAACTCCAGCTACATTTGCTCGCCCTGCAGAAAAAGAGGGAAAAAATAGAAGGCCTTCTCAGAGTTCATTAAAAAGCGAAAACATGCAGTGACAAAGGGATTAGCTGGGAGAGGGAATCACTCTCCGACTTCTTTCATAATTAAAACTGGAGCCTTTTTAACCAGTAAATCTGCAGGTCTGAAGCAGGTCAACCAAAAAAAGATATAAATAAAAGGATTAAAACAGAGAGAAAAAATTATATGTATTATCCACATGTAAGTATATCTAGCTGCTGTTTTATAAATTGGCTTGATTTTTGCTGTTGAAACAAAAAAGGCATGATTTAAAATAGGAAAAATGCAAAGCCAAAGGTTAAAGTGTTTCATGTTGCAGTTATGAAAAGCCCCCCCCCCCCCAAAAAAAAAAAAAAAAAAAAAAGCCAAGAAGCTTAACATGTTGTTCTTGATAAGTAAGACATCAGATCTTGGCCAGGAAATAGCTACAATCCATCATGCAACCATCTGTGCAAACTTAAACTGGAAGATGTGAATGTTGATATTAGTCAGTCAGCGTTGTTTTATCAGGTTTGATTTAAGAGTGCAGACTGAGGCAGAAGACTGGACTTATTTGGTAGTTGTTAACATTTCTGGCTGTGTTGAAATGCCTATTAAAGACTCATATGAACGTATTATGTGGTTTACATTATGGCTGAACAATTAATCAAAATATTATCAAAATTACAATATGGCCAAATGCAGCATCCAAAGCACAGGATGTGCAATTTTTTTGATAAAGGTCAAATATGTCACAGCATGCTATTAATGAAGCATTGTGGTGCTGTCTTGTGATGCCCTGGCCTGCAAATCATATTCTCCAGGCATAAGGGAACATGTTTGTTTGGTGTAGCCCCCAACAAAAATCACATTATCATCATTTTTATATTTTTTTTCTGTGAAAATGAAATGTAAAAATCACCATTCCAAATGAAATGGTGACTCATATTGCAATATCTGGCAAAATAATCG